GTGTGTATGGATTGGGATAACAGTTGTATGAGCCCCTAATAAAATGTTAAAAAAAAAAAATAATAATAATAAAATAAAAATAAACCCAATGACAAGGGAGAAAAAAAAAAGAAGACAGGTCACCTGTCTTCTTGTAAGATTTCTCTTCCCAACTATGTCATACAGCAGTTCCATTACTTGGCAATAACTCGTCTGCGCTGCACAGGTACACAGGTTGCCTCAGAATTCCAAGCAGCAACAAGGCACTGCTGAGATGGGGCTGCCAGCCAGTGCTCCCCACCCACCACCCCATGGGTCCCACCCCATCCAGTATCATCAGGCCACACACCGAAGACACTCAGGGAGGTAACAAGCGAAAGCTCCTTTCATTACTCAGACGACAGACAGCTGGCAAACAGATCAGTTCTTTCATGCGCCGTGCTGAGGGGTCCCCTCTGGCTCAACGGCAGTGCGGGCAGAATGGAGACTGCTACTCATGCCTCATCACAGTTGTAGGTGAGGAACCTGGAATTCCTTCCGCCCGTTTATGCTCCAGGGCTCACTGCATGGAGGGCAGCATCGGGTTCCCCACCTGACCGCCCCAGGCAGAATGTCAGTATTTTAACTTTGCTGCTTGTGGGGCTTCAGGGGGCCGGGCACTGTGATTTGTTCTGAAGCCCACAGATGGCAGCCGGGGGAGGAACTCGGTGGAACAGAAGTTCTAAAAACAAAATATGAGACCAATTAGCTGGGGTGCCCTGTGAAGCCAGGCCTCTGTGGGGCCGTTCTGCTCCGTCCTGGAGGGACACTTCGAGGGGGAAATAAGCTCAGCAGCTATTGCTAAGGGGGAAGCGTCTCAGCTCACGTTTCCAAGGACCGTTTGCTGAGAATGTCCATGTGATCCTAGATGGTTCTTTAAAAGAGCACAGTGCTCACGGCAGACAGCCTTTATTCAGTAAGGTCAGCAGTTGCTGGGTTTTAAACGGACTTCAGGGGACAGTTCTGGCTCCAGACAGAATTCGGTTCATGTCTTCGGTTAAACCCACATCCTCCGTGACCTCCAGGCTCATGGCTTCTCATACCCTACAGTGACTTGCGGGAGGAGTCCAGGGTGAGCAGAAATCACCAGCTGCTCTTTGGAGAAAGACGGGCTTTCTACTCCCAAAGAGAGTTGACAGTCTCATAAACCCGCAGGGGCAGTTCTACCCTGTCCCTTAGGATCGCTGTGAGTCCGCGTCGCAGGGAGAAGTGACTGGGTGACTGTCAGGTTTTCACATTCAGCCCTTTCCTCGGCCCCAGCACCAGCCCTAAATGTGCGCGCTATAAGAAGCATCTCAACGTCAACGAGTCAAAACTGGAAATCCCGGGCAGCGGGGAGGGAGGGGTAAAATGAGGAGCTGATGCCAGGGGCTTAAGTGGAGAACAAATGTGTTGAGAATGATGGACGTAAGAAAATTAAAAAAAAAAAAAAAAGAAACAAAAAGAGAATGATGGAGGTAAGGAATGTACAAATGTGCTATACACAATTGATGGATGTATGGATTGTGATAAGAGTCGTATGAGCCCTCAATAAAATGGTTAAAAAGTCAATAAATAAATAAAATAAAATACACACACAAAAACAAAACTGGAAATCTTAATTTTGGCAGGAAATACCTCACCCTTTCCTCCCCCCACCCCCTGCCACCTCCCTCTACCACCCTCCACATCTCACCTCCTTTACTCAGGCTAAAACCTCCGTGTCACCCTAAATCCCTTTGGTCCTCTCAGAGCTCCCCCCACCCCCACCCCCTGCAGCCCATGAGTAAATCCCGTCAGCCCGTCTTTAAACCGTGTCTACAATCCAGAACATTCTCACCACTCCCACTGCCAGCTCTGTCATCATCTCTTGCCTGTGTCCTGGCTTTACCTGCCTAAGGGGTCTCCCCTGCTCTTGCCCACACGGATCACCAGGATGACCCTTTCACAAGTCGGTCACGCCTCTCCTCAAAACGCCCTAGCTCTCTCTGGGGGCGAAGATCGCCATGAGGGGCAAAACACAGGCCCATTTTATGGCTCCTCCTAGCAACGTGGCGAAGAAAGTGGAAATCACACGCCCAGTACACTTGCTCTTTCTGTGGCAAAACCACAGCAAAACGGTGAGGGCTGCGGGGACCCAGCACCGCGGTGCCCCTCGGGAAAACAGTACCTGTAAGTGCCTGGACCCACACTAGCACCCTTAGTGTGACAGTAAGACCCACCATTGGAGCCCGCCCGAGGCATTGAAAGACTGGCAGAGGGTCCACCAGGGGTAACATCTCTGAGAACCACTGCACATCAACATTTTCAGCAAAATTCAATAAGACAGAAACTAGGACATGCTGGAGAGGGTATGTGGCGACCTGACTTGTCTAACCACTCTGGAAATTAGAAAGTAACCTCCTTTAACAAATGCAAATACCGGTATACCCATTAAAGAAATAAAGAATACAACACAATGTGTTAGGCCGGTTTGACTGGAGAAACAGATCCAGAGACACTCATGCATGTATAAGAGAGAGCTTTCTATCAAGGAGTGGTTGTATATCAAGAAAACATCCCAGCTTAGTCCAACTCAAGTCCCTAAGTCCTGTACTAGCCCATACGTCCCCCTTCAGACTCACGAAGTCGCATGCAATGCTGCAGGAAGATCTCAGGCTGGTGGGTGCAAAGTCTTGTGGATCCAAGGGGGGTGGACGCATCTCCAGGACCCTGGCAGGTCTCAGAGTGGCTCACCCACCAGCAGGAAGGCAAAGTCAGAGAGAGAGAGGGAGGTTCCAGGACCCTCCTTATGAAAAGGCCACACCCACAAGGAGTGGCCATCAGACTGTGACCTGATTGATAGGTCACGCACTACCCCTACCCTTTTATCTTGCTTCAAGTTGACATGAAGGTATGTAACTACCACACACGAACAGACATATACACACCTATGTTTACTGCAGCAATGTCCACAACAGCAAAAACATGGAAACAACCAAAAGCTCCAATTATAGAGAAAAGGATAATGTACAAACCCTAGTACAGTCGGGCAATGGAATATTGTGTATCAATAAAAAATGACAACTCTCAAACACTGCAAAACATGGACAAAACTAGGGAACATTACACTTAGCAAACTTAGTTGACAAAGATAAATATTTAATAACACCATTATTATAAGGGAAAATGTGGTTTTTACAGCAAAAGATAAGACTTGGATAACTAAGAGGAGGCCCGGGACGGGTGGAGGCGAGGAGGGAGGGAAGAAGGATGGGGCGGGGAAAGAAAGAGAACCACATTTATGGGGGCCTTCATGGATATTGCTGTTGATTCATTTTTGAAATGGGCTCTGTAATGACATACAGTGTGCTTCTTTTAAAAAAAGAGAGAGTGAAGTTTCACAGACTTACATAAAAAAAGACTCCTCCAGATTCTTTACCCTTGGACCTAAATATTGGTCTGAATGGCAAAAGGAAAAAATATATACAGGGGAACCGATGACAAGGATCTACATATAACCACCTCCCTGGGGGACGGACAACAGAAAAGTGGGTCAAGGGAGACGTCGGACAGCGTAAGATATGACAAAATAATAATAACATAAATTATCAAGGGTTCATGAGGGAAGGAGGAGCGGGGAGGGAGGGGCAACATGAGGAGCTGATACCAAGGGCTCAAGCAGAAAGCAAATGTTTTGAGACTGATGAGAGCAACAAATGTACAAGTGTGCTTGACACAATGAATGTGTGTAGGGATTGTGATAAGAGTTGTATGAGCCCCGAGTAAAATGATTAAAAATAGAGACGCAATTTACAGTCGCACCACTAGGGGACAGGCTATTACTATTCTCATTCAATGTGAGGAGCCTGAGACCCAGTACAAGGAAGAGGTGTACAGGAGCTTCGTGGTGGGGCCCAGGACAACCCCAGAGAGGCCTTGGAATGTTGTGGGAGAATCCAGGACGGCTCTGGGGAAGAAAGGGGTCTTTGGAAACGGGCATGGGCATGAGTGGTGTGACTGTTTTGCCCTCAGCCGAGCACTAACCTAGAGACTGGTGGTTTGAAATCACCCTGTCGTGCCACAAAAAAGGTGACCCGGTGACCTGCTCCCATGAAAGCATATAGATTTTTTTTTTCTTTTTTAACATTTTATTAGGGGCTCATACAACTGTTATCCCAATCCATACACACATCAATTGTGTAAAGCGCATTTGTACATCGTTTCTCAAAACATTTTCTCTCCATTTAAACCCCCGACATTAGGTCCAAAAAATAAACAAATAAATAAATAAAAAGAAAAAGTAACAGAAGTAATGATGCCCTGAGGGTACAGGAAGGGGGGAAGAGAGAATTGGTAGGGGAACTGATAGCAGTGATGACTGTATAACCCCACTTGGGGGGAGGGAATAACAGAATTGTAAGTCAGTGGCTCTCAGCTTTCCTAATGCCACATACAGTTCCTCATGTGGTGACCCCTGATCATAAAATAACTTTCGTTGCTACTTCACAACTATAATTTTGCTACTGTTATGAATTGTCATGTAAATATCTGATATGCAGAATGTATTTTCACTGTTACAGATTGAACATAATTAAAGCATCGTGATTAATCACAAAAAAAAAGAAAACATATAGATAGCGTAACTGGCATTTTATGGGTTGTTTTGAGATCAGTGCAGAGACATTATGCACATTTTGTACACAGTTCTGAAGGCATGTACCCAAATCCTAAAACAGCACGTAGATACAATTCTTTTCTAAAAGCCAGTGACTTCCTAGCTTTCAATTTGAAGGCGATTTTGAAAAAGAGGTTATCAAGTACCATGATCTTCAAACGTTGACAAGCTGCTGCATCTTACGTTCCACTAATTCACAATTCAATGTCACACACCCTGCACACTGCAATGCGCATCCCATCAGAGCACGTCACAACGTGATCAGGAGGACGGGACTAGCCCGAGCAGAGGGGTCACAGACGCACAGTTGTGGCGAGAGCTTTGACGGCAGAATGATGATCAGACACAGTGACATGGAGACAGAACTCGAAACGCTCAAGTCACACAAACCATGACAGCGACGCCAAACGGACATTAAGTGTGCTTTGCATTAGGTCCAAACCCGCCCCTTCCCGTGGAAGGTTACATTGACACCCATGAGAGTCAAAAAAAAGTGTTTTTTTTAACATTTGATTGAGGGCTCTTACAGCTCTTATAACAATCCATCCATCCACTGTATCAAACACATTTGTACATATGTTGCCATCATTACTTTCTGGACATTTACGTCTATTGAGACTTTGATGTCAGCTCCTCTTTCCCCCCTTTCCCCCCCACCCTTGTGGCCCCTTGAGAGTCAAATCTCAAAATTCAACATCCCATTAGTTTCTGGTTGTACAAAAAACACAAAAAACAAACCAGCAAATGATCTCACATCTTTTTTTTCTTTGACACATGATTTTATTTTATTTTTTCCAAGGCAGAGGGTGGAAAGGTTAACTATGTTTTTTAAATCATTTCATTAGGGGCTCATACAACTCTTATCACAATCCACACATACATCAATTGTGTAAAGCACATTTGCACATTCATTGCCCTGATTTCACATCTTAAAAAAAGCATTTACACTTAAAAAAGAAAAAAGAGGATGAAGTGGGATTTCCTCCTTCTTAATGAATGTTTCTGGAGCTGCTAAAAAAACTTGCATTTACAAAATAGTTGATAAAAATATTCCTCTGGATTGTGCACGAAGGGCGCTGACAGGGCCCCTGATCAGACTGGGTGGGTAAACAGTCATCAGACGGGGCTGCTTTTTCTCCTCTTCCTCAGAGGCCGGGCTCCTCGCTTTCCGGTTCCGTAGCTTCTGGGTCAGCGGCTTCAGCCTGCTCCCCTCCGCCCCCTCTCCCTTCGGCTCGCACTTTTGTCTGAAGGTCTGTCCTCTTCTGCTGCCTTTTTGGGCTTCGTCTCCTTTTGCAGCCGCAGGTCTCGCTGACAACCGTGCGTCTCCCCCTGGCTCCTCCTCCACCGCCCCTCCACCAGCTGACTTCCTTTTGGGCACCTTGGCAGTGGGGAGGGTGTTTGCAGGATGCCTGGGGACCGCTGGGCATGACGAGCTTTCTGGAAGCTGTTTGCCTGGCCTCCTCCTGCTCCCCCAAGCTCCCCCAGGCCCCCGTTAAGATTTCAAACACAGAAAACCACCGTCTTCGAGTGGATTTTCACTCATAGCAGTCCTATAGAATCCATCACTCCCTGAGGTTTTCCGGGACCATCAATCTTTATGGATATAGCCTCATCTTTCTTCCACTCTGATCAGACTACCAAAAAACACTCCCTGCCATCAAGCAGATGCCAGCGCCCAGGGACCCAGTAGGACAAGGTGGAATTGCCCCTGTGGGTTTCCGAGACTGTCACTCTTTGTAGGAGTCCAGAACCTCTTCTTTCTCCCGAAGAGGAGCTGGTGGTTTCAAACTGCTGGCCTTGCAGTTAGCAGCCCAACTGTAACCACTATGGAGCAATCACACGGAGTCACCGACTTGCCCCTAGAGCATCAGCCAGCAACGGGTCAGCAACTTGCCTAGGGCACTGGGCAGCCAGAGAAGGGCTGAGCAGGGGAGTGACTGACCGGGAAAGCCGGGAAAGCTATCTCCACTTGTCCGTCAGTCCGGTCCATCTGCTCTGTTTCTGTTTCTATTTCTCAGGCCCTCTCAGCAGTTCAGCAGTCCTGCTCCCTCGCTCCGAAGAGCCAGCTCAGCCACTTTCCCGTTCCATGTCCCACCAGAAGCCAGAACCCCACGTCTCTCAGCACCCCTCATCCTGTGCCCAGAAGGCCAAGGAAAGGAACTGGGAGAGGCAGTGAGGAAGGTAAGGTGGCCCCCACACCCACCCTCCCTCTGTCTCCACCCCTGCAGCCTCCAGGGACTGTAGGCAGGCCTCCCCTCCCCCTCTGGACCAGGACTCAGGCTCTCATACTCCTTGGGCCGATTCTGCGATTCTGCGTGCCTAGTACCAATCAGTGCCAGCTGGCAGCTCTCCCTGGGGACTGGGGTGGCATGGGTATGGGGGAGGGGGGAAAGTAGGCAGGGACCGGAGGAGAAGCGGGACCAGGATTTCAGGAGGTGGTGGTCAGGAGCTGGGTGGGCAGCATGGGAGTCCCATGGGACTTAGGGAAAGGTTAGACTAGGGAGTCCTGGGCGTCCAGGGAGCAGGGGAGGTGTCAGGCCCTGACCCTGGCTCTACTGTCCTTGGCCCTTCCCACTCTTTCCCTACCACCCCACGTTCCCTTACACCCACCCATTAAGCTGTTCCTGCCTAATCTGTTTGGGTCCCTTTAAGAGCTGCCTGGGAACTGGGGCACTGGAAGGGGCTGGCAGGGTCCCCACCCCTCCCCTAGCCATGCCCGCCTCTGCTCCGCCTCCTGTCCATTACAGAAACTGCTGGAAGTCTTGGACGCCCCCGGTTAGGGTCTCCACTTCTGGGCTGTGGGTAAGGCTTGAAAGTGGTGGGGAAGGGGGACCCTGGACCCTGGGGTGGGATATGGGGCAGGATGCCAGATTCTTGGGGTTGTGAACCTGGAGTATCTGTGTGCCAACTTGAGTGGGTGACGCAGGGGGCCTGGCGGGATGGCCCTCTGGCCTGGGACAGGGAAAGGCAGCCCAGGGACCAACCCTGAGGAGGGCACCCCAGGAAGAAGGAGGGCCTGGGCCCACCCTCCCCCTGCCCATTCTCCCCGGAGATCTCTCTTTGCTGAACTCTAGAGGCCACTGCTGGGCCTTCCCCAACCAAAGACTCAGGGCCTGAGCCATCAATGGGGAAACTGAGGCTGGGAAACCCAGAGGGAATGGCGTTGCATGTGCTACAGTCAGAGTAGTGGAGATTAGGCCCTGGGCGGGTTCTCCCTCCCTTTTTTCCACCTCAGGGAGCTGCACACAGGCGGGGCGGTGGGGAGGGTGTCCCTGTGTGTCCAGCTCACCCAGCAAGCACCTCACTGCAGCCCCGGTGGCCACCCCAACAGAGTCCTACTTCCTCATTAGGACACTTCAGTTCCTTCCCGGAAGTGTTGTTCTTGTGAGTGTAGTTTGTTGGTTTTATTTTTAAATCGATTGTGGTCGGGGTGACAACTGACAGAGCACCATGTTGTTTCCCATCCAACAAGTGACGCGCATCTTGATTCTCAGTAACAGTCGCAAGTCCCTCGACACCACATCCCTCTTCCCGATTCATCCTTGGGTGGTGCCCGAATCCATCGTCGGTCTTTCTCTCCTGCCCCTTCCTACTGTCTTTCCGAGCGTGGTTTTGAGGTGAATGCTGGCCTTCGGGTCGCGTGTGGGTGATTCATCTGGGGAACAAGGCACTGGGGTTCTCCAGATAGACCTGTCTGCTGTTTGGGCCCAGATGCAGCTCTGGGTTTGAAGGGTGTCTGCGGGACATAATCTCAGGGGGTTCCACCAGCCTCTATCAGGCCAGTAGGTTTGGTGTGTTTCTGAATTTCGTTCTATGTGTCCCTCCCATTCTGTGCAGGACTGTCTGCGGTGATCCCTGTCAGGGCTCTCAGGACAGGGAGCTGGGCACCACCTCCTTCTTCCCGCCTCCGGGCACAGAGGTTCTCAGGGTGCATGAATCCCTCAGACCAAAGGTGTCCCTGAGTCTCTGATCTGCTTCGCTCCTGTGTGCTCCAGACAGAGAGAGATTTCCTAGAAGTGCTCACTCCAGATTCTAAGGCCAAGAGAGGCCCCCTGAAGCTTGGCCGCGTAACCCAGCGTGAAGTGGAGCCAGGGGAGACCCGTGGGCCCCCCTGGCGTCATTCCTTTGGCTACTTCAGAATTGCAGCCCCTTCCAATTCTGACAGCGTCTGGGCCCTGTTGTCTCCCAAGGGAAGGTGATGGGGGTAAGAAACAAAGGGTAGCCCCCCGGGGTGTGTGTGTGTGAAATCTTTTTGCTGCAGTTAGGGTCTAGGCCCTGCCATCTCGGTCCCCAATTAGCTCATCCGTCCCCTGCCCCCACCACATGCCCTAGAGCCGGGGAAGGAACCAGACCAAGTAAAAGCCCCCTCTGAGCCCTGAGCCCAGGGCACTGAGAGTCCGCAAGGGCTAGGGGACAGATGGCCACTGTACTCAGGGTCTGCTTCTGCTTTCCCTGCCCAAATGCCCTCTTGGCCCTGCCCAGACGGAAATGCTGACAGGCACCCCAACCCCGACCTAAAGGGGAACCCGGACTTGGCTTGTGAAACCCTCTGCCCAGCCAGGCGCCAGCACACTTTGCTCTTCCTAAAAATACTGAACGTCTGGGGACGAAGGCGTCCTGCTCTCGGGGAGCTGCTGTTTTACCTCTGTGGATCCGAGAGGGCTAGTGTCCTGCGCAGACTCACACAGCAAGCTTCAGGCCCGCCCGCTGGCCTGGTACTCAGAGCAATCCGTGCCCACCCCTGCGGTACCTTTGCAGTCTTCCTGCAAGCGGAATGAGGCCCATTGGGAAGGGTTTTTTTTCAACTCCTCGTTTTACCAGTAACGCAGCCAAGGCCAGGGACCTCAGCTAAAGTTAGGACAGGACACCAGGCCCAGCACCCAAGCCTCCTCTGAGACGACCCGGCTGTCTCGGTGCCTTCCCAGATAGGGAACCACCCAGCCCCCCGTCTTATTCAGTGTCCTCAGTGGGGGGAGCAGGAGGTGTGGCCCACACCGGGAGACATATGTGGGGACGTGTGGAGAGACACACACCAAAAGGCCTGTCTATGGCATGTTCGTGTAGTGCTTTCAGGAGACGTGTACTATTATTGTTTTTAAAAACTCCCTGTAGTCGATCATCACAACGAATCATTTTTCATAAGCCCAGATTATCAGTACAAAGCTAAAACTCTGTGCCGACTTACTTTTTGAACCTTCGAAGAGTCCGATTCGGCTGGAGGGCGGTGATTTTGGAGTTCTGGTGCAAGGCAGTGCTGTCCTTGTTCCTCCTCCTCAGCGACGCGCCAAATCCGTGGCTTAGGGCGCATGCGCCACAGGACGCACCACTGCTCCCGTGGCTCCCAGTGGTCCGATAGTCACTGCTTTTGTCGAATGTTCTGCCTTTTTCGCTGCAAGACTGCAGTAAGTAGAGACCCTGGCGGTGTAGTGGGTGTCCCCATTGGGCTGCTAGCCATGAGGCCAGCGGTTCCAAACCACCAGGCGCTCCTCGGGGGGAAGATGAGGCTTTCTACTCCCCTAAGCAGTTACAGTTACACAGGGGCACTTCTTCCCTGCCCCATAAGGTCACTGTGAGTCGGCATCCACTCGAGGGCAGTGAGTTTTGGATTATGCTAAGTAGTATTGTGAATGCATATCAGGGACTTTTTGAGAATGAAGTAGTATTTAGCAGAAAAGGAGAAAAATTCCAAAAGGCCCCTGCTCCGTTCCTAGTAGTGTTGTAACCAGTAATGTAATTCAGTGAAGGAAGATTTTTACCAAAAAAATTTGTTAGTATTCATAGAATCCAAGAAATACTACATTTGAGCAATGTGCAACTATATTTATCACACATCATTCCATGACTGAAATCCATTACATATCATTACTATGAAATCCATAGGAAACACTGCTAAGGGTGGTCTGGTATGAGGAAGACCAGGAAGAGGGGGGCTGATGGCCACACCATGAGTCACAGCACCCCAGGGACACCACTGGCCCCTCGCTCACTCTTTCTCTCCTTTTGGAAGGCTGCCTTCCATCCGTCCTCTCCCCCCACCAGCTTTCTCCCAGAGGTCTCTCCCGAGAGAGAGAGAGAGAGAGAGAGAGAGAGAGAGAGAGAGAGAGAGAGAGAGATCTCCCGAGTGGTGCTGAGGGGAGGCTGCGGGAAGAGCTGGCTTTTTGGTTAGATGAGTAGAAAAGGGGGGCCCTGAGCCCCTTGGTGGACTCCTGCACCGGAAGTCCCAACAATGCTAAGGTTTCCCAGGCTTCTCGGACAGACACCTTGTCCCTTGGCTCAGCCGCACAGACATGTGTGTGTTTATTTGCATCCTCCTTAGCAAGCTCTATTTGAATGGGCTCAGGCTGGAATCCAAGTGAGATGCCTAACACACACAGAGTCCTTAAAAAAAGGAGTCAAATTTACTGCCATCAGCTCGATGCCGACTCAGAGCGACCCTGTAGGACAGGGTAGAACTGCCCCTGTGGGTTTCTTAAGACTGTAACTCTTTACAGAAGTAGAAAATCTCCTCTTTCTCCTTCAGAGCCGTTGGTAGTTTCGAACTGGTGGCCCTGTGGTGCGCAGCCCAACACGTAAACATTACATCACAGAGTCCTTAGGAAAGGAGAAAAGCCAGAGAAACTGCTGGCCCCAGCTGACAGCACACCCCCTCTTCCTACTCAGCTGGGGGACATAGGCAGGATGATGCCTAACTGAAGGTGGGAAGGGAGCTGAGCAGGACCCCGTGGGGGGGCATGATAATGTGCCCCCCCCTACATCTGGAGCCCTGGATGCAGAAACCGCAGAAGGTGGGGCACAGGGGGACACCAGTAGGAGGAGGAAGAATATGGGGAGATTCTAGTCCCTCCCACTTAGAGATGCGGTCGCCATGGTGACTGAGGACCAGAGAGATGGGATGGGGTTGGGGATGGGGGGCGGGGGTGTGGCAGGCACCGAGGCACTGGGCGACAGTAGCTGTCATTCCAGGCATCCCCAGCTCCAGGTAAGGGATGGAGAGAGCAGAAAGGCAGTTCCGAAAGGAGGGGGGCGGGCCATTGTCTGGCGCTGGCTCTGCCCTGAGGAGGGGGCAGACCGAAGGGGTCGGGCCATTGTGTGTGGTCATCTGCTCAGCCTTTCAGCCCGGTCAGATTGGAGGGGGGACGTGAGAGGCTTTGGGTAAGGGGCTTGTGGGGGGTGGGGGGAGCTGGGCTGGGCAGGCAGCAAGAAGGCTGGGAGACTGTGGGGGCTGGAAGAGGTGGGGAGATCTTGGAGGAGTGGAGGCTTGGGGACATCCCTATGGCTCCCCCACGGTAGGCACTCAATACCTAGAAGTTGATTTGACTTGCTGATGATTATAAAAGAGGGCAGAGGAGGGGCGCGGCAGGTGGGATTGAGGGAGGGGGCAGGCAGGGATGTCTTCCAGGAGTGTGCTCTCGGAGGGCTGCCCTGAGGCTGGGAGAAGGCAGTGGGGATGCTGGATCTGCAGGGTCATTGGCCAAGCCGGCAGGGGCTCCTAGAGCCCCTCCCTCAGCAAGGTGTGCAAACTCCTGGGGTAGAAAGGGGCTGAGCCTTCTGGGTTGAAGCTCAGAAGCAGCATGGGGTACCCTCATCTCCCCTCCCACTCCATCCCCATGTCTGTCTGCCTCCACTTGGGCTATAAATCCTGGCTAGAAGGGGCTACTGTTTGATGTGGTCCAGGGATTGTGGGGGAGGAGTCTCCCAGGGAGCTGGACCCTGGCCTGGGAGGATGAACTCAGTCCTGTTGTCCTGGGGGGCGGGGGTGTCCCTAGGTTGGGCTCCAGGGCTGGGGGCGGGGGACGGGGGGGGTGGGGGACGGACAGAGGAAGCCCCAGATTGGGGTCATGGGGATGGTATAGTCCCTTGGTCCCTCTGGCCCAGTCACCTGGCACCTGACTCCTCCCCCTGTCGCCACATCTGACCTGCTACCCGACTCTGCCCCTGACCAAGGCACTCCCCCCTCCTGCCTTGATTTCCTCATTTGTCCAGGGAAGGAGGGGGTGGGACCAAGGCTTGATCCAAGCTTCCTGGACGCAGTGGGCAGAAAGGACCTGCTACCTAATTTGTGGGGCCCACTGCAAAGGGAACCGGCAAGACTGCAGGCGGCACCGGCCCTCATGTGACTTCACAGGTGGCATATCCAGGCTGGGGGCCCCATCCACCACAGCACAGGGATGGGTGGCAGGGAGACTTGGGGGGCCTGACTTCCTGGCTTCAGCCTCTTCTGTGGGACGACGGACCAGGAGGGCCTGACAGTGGCGGAGGAAGGGCCCTGAGACCACCGCTTCTCAGTCCAGAGCCTCCCCTCCCCCCTCCCTGGCCTTCCGCCCTCAAGTGGCTCAGAGCTGAGCTTCCTGGAAGTTGGGCAGGAAGTAGGGCTGGCTGGCGGGTGGGACTCCAGATAGAAGAGGTTCTTTCACATGAGGCAGCTCTGAATTCATCGATTTGTCTTCTGGTTGGGCCACTTCCCTTTCCTTATCTGTAACAAGGGGTCGCAGGGATGTCTACCGTCCACAGTGGTTGAGGTGGCCAAGGTGAACTATTGATAATGGCTGGGGGGACTGGGGAAGAGGCCTGGGGTGTGCTGAGGGGCATCCTGGGAACCAGGCATTGGGTTCGCCACGGCCAAAGAGGCCAGGGTGGGGTCGGGACAGGGCATCCATGGGGAGAGCAGGGCCGGGACTCCTCCCCGAGACCCAGATAAGACTAGCTGTTCTAGAGGAGAGGCCCAGGGACAGGGTGCGTCTCCAAAACCGGAGCTAGGGCTTGGAGAGACTTGACAAGCAAGAACTCCCCTGGGTTCTGTGGGCCTGGAAGACTCCCTCTAGGCGGACTGGTCCCTGGCCTTCTGGAGAGAAGGGACCCTGGGCAGCCAGCATCCAAGGGGCGTCTGGAAGACCTTTGAGCAAGTCTGAACAGGAAGAGCTGTTGGGGGCAGGGGGGACCATCGGAGACCAGGCCCCCAGAGATGGAGGGATACTGGGAGCAGAGGGAGAGGGGAGGGAGGCTGAGCAGGCTCTGAGGAGGACTTCCCAGGGCTCCCCTGATTTGGGCCTCCCTGTGGAAGGAGGGATGGAAGTTGCAGGGCTTCCTGGCAGGGAGGAGTGTGTGTTTCCGATGGAGGTGGGTTATTGACAGGAGCCCGTCCATTAGCCCTGCGATGCCTGTGCTTCACCTGCAGTCAGCTGACCGGGCCTGAGTGGGCAGATACAACCCACTTTATAGGCTGTGGAGCCCTTGGCGGCGGAAGCCTCATTAACCCTGCATTATGAGGTCCCCCTCCACCCCACCCCCACCCCCAGCCTACGGGAGTGGTGAGCAGGAGAGCTGAGTGCTTCTGAAGCCTGAGCTCACACAGCACATGCAAGCACGGGAAGTTCCCGGGCTGGGCCTCCTGCTGGCCGGCTGGAGCCCTGGTGGACATTAGACTCCAGAACAGCCTGGTGCACTTGTTTGGACTTTGTTGTTGTTGAAGACTGTGGCCAGCCGGAAATGGGAGGGTTGAAGGTTAGACCACTTCAGGGACTTCCCAGTCGTAAGAGTGGGCAACCCCACCTTGTAGGCCAAGGAAAGAGGAATACAAAAGACAGACTGCCGGGAAAGTTGAGCAAGAGAGAAACCAGCCCTGGGCTGGTTAGGCTGGGTGTGTCTTGGCAGAGAGGCAGAGGCGGGGGCAATGACCGAGAGGACCCAGAAGGGCCTTTTAGGCTCTCTCGGTGGCTGGCAGGCTGGCGGGTGGAGAGAGGAGGGAGAAAGAAAGAGGTGTGTCTCCATAGGTGGTGGAGCCTATTGGTATACACCCTCCCAATCCTCCAACTTCCGCCCAAGCCAGGAATCTGTCACAACTGGAGAGGTGGAAATTCTGGTTTCCCTGGCCCAGAGCACAGGGCTGACTTGGGACTATGGGCACCTGGAGGGCCCCGCTCCCGGCCCAGCCGGGCTGAGCCCTCCACCCTCGCCTGCTGAGGTCTGGGACCCCATGCCTTCCTTCTTGTAGATGGCCCCCCTGCTGAGTAGCTGACTCCTGGGTCCCACATTGTGGCCCACTCAAGGGTATGTGAGACAGGCCGCCAGGGGCTGGGGCTGAGGCTGGGGGTGGGGGTGGGGGACAGGAAGATCCAGAGACCCCAGGGGGCCCGGAGAGAAACAGGTGAGGTTGCGTGGGAGCTGAGCCAACCAGCTGCCCCCTGCTCAGGGCTGCTCCTGGGCTAATGCTGGCCACCAGCCTAGTCTTATGGGTCCTGACTGCCTCCTTGGAGGAAGAAGCCCGGGGAGACTTGAGCGTCAGAGACCCCGGAGCCCAGCTGGGGCTGGAGGTGAGGTCAGAGGGGGCCTGGGTCACCACAGGGCAAGGTGAGCAGGAGGACAGAGGATCACTGGAAAGGGCAGGAGCGTCAGGTCTGAGGAATGTGCGCTATGGGTGCAGGAATCTGCTGCCCAGAAATGCCCTCCCTGGGGGGCCGACAGCAGTGTCTGGGGCTCTGGCTGCAAGAGGAAGAAAGACAAAGGCGAGATGGTAGAAGCACTTGCCCAGGGAAGGCTAGAACAGGCAGACAGAACTCCTGGTGAAGGAGACCTCCAGCACCAGCACCAGCACCAGCACCCGCAGCAGCAGGAAGTGGGACAGAGAGGCTCCTGCTGGGAAGGGAGAGTGAGGCAACCAGCACCAGTCTGGTCTGAGGGGGATGGAAGTGAGACTCCCCCAGGGCCTTCCCCCAGGGGAACCATCCCCTCCCTCAGGGCTCCCCCTCAGTTCATACTTCTGCTACCTGAGGCTCTCTGATTGGTCCACAGGAGGATGTGGTGAGGCCCACTCACCCTGAGAGTGCCAAAGAGCCCATTTCCCCAAAGCCGGCGGGCGAGTGCCCTGACAGAGCATGGCCCTCCCAGCCCCGGGCCTGGATCCCTGGAGCCTGCTGGGCCTTTTCCTCTTCCAGTTACTGCTGCCATTCCCGCCTCCCACGACCGCCGAGGCAGGCGGGCAGGGGCCCGTGCCCAGGGTCAGATATTCCGCAGGTAAGCTCTGATGTTGGGCAGGTGCGCTGGGCATGGGGGAGAGGAGAGGAGGGAGGAGGGAGGTGGAGGAGTGGAGGAGCAGAGGAGCAGAGGTGACCTAGCTGGGGACTCCAGGAGAGCATCAGAGAGCCTTGGGGGGAAAAGGCCAGAGGCAGAAATGTAGACAGAGGGAGGGAGAAGAGTGGAAGAGGAAACTCACAGCCCGAGGCCCCGGGGGAGCAGAGGGGCCTGGGGTCCAGGGCCACTGCTATCTGTGGGCTCCCTAAAGTTGGTGAATTTCCTTTCTCTCTAAATGTCATGGGCATCAGTTAGGTGCCTTGGACACGCCCCTGAAAGCCCGGGAGCTAAGGCTCACGTGGGCACCTGATCCATGCCAACCACCCGACCATGCTGGAGACCCCAGCCCCACGGAGCACATGCCACAGACCCCACCCCTCCCTTGGGAGAAGTACCACCGGGGCTGTGGACCCAGGGGCCCTGGGGGCAGTTTGGCTGCTCTTCTACGGAGCCTGTGGGCTGCCGGCCCGCTCCGCTTCAGGGAGAAGGGTCTAGGAAGGTCAAAGGCCTTGTCAGAGATGCAGGGGCAGGGTCTCGTGGGGGTGTCGCCAGCATCTTCCCGAGGCAACCCAGTGAAGGCACTGTGTGTGGCCTCTGGATGGACAGGCCCCCTCCGTGTTGGGTTCTGGGGTACCAACACGGATGGGACTCAGCCCCTGCCCAGGAGGTGCTCACCTTCTAGGGGCAGAAGCAGGAGGGCGACCAGACGCAAGGGCGACAGGCATCCCTCTCAGAGGTCAGCCCTCCAGCATCGTGCCACACTTGATTCTGACTCTTCCTCTTGGTCCTTAGATGCCCTGAGTTTCCCTCCCCCCTTTAACAGTTAGCCAGTCAGCTTCCTGGGGGAGCCCTGGTAAGTGCACTGGTCACGCGTTGGGCTGTGATCCGCCGAGTTGGAAGTCGGAAACCCCCAGACGCTCTGAGGGAGAAAGACCGGGCTTTCTACTCCCAGAAAGACTCACCGTCTCAGAAACCCACAGGGCCAGCTCTCCCCTGTCCTAGGGTCGCTGTGAGTCGGCACCGGCCAAGTGGCAGTGCGTGAGTCAGCTGACTAACTAGAGCAAGAGTGAAGGGTGAGAGCGATGGGAGATTTGAGGAGCCCCTCCCCACTTGCTGATGTGCAGGGGGCAGAAACACAGACACAGACACCCAACCCCCTCCCACCACCACCACCACCACCACGGCTCCCCTATTGCCATCTTGGCAAGACGATGCAGCTGGCCTAGGGGATTCTCCTGCAGCCTGCTTCGTCTCCCCTACGCAGGTGACAGCTAGGTACACTCAGGGGCCCCCGAGGAAAATATGCCCTTCCTGTCCAGCCTAAGTGATCTGGGGAGGGGAATGCCCTGCATCAGAGGGGTAGGAAGTAGGCAGAATGAGGAGGTGGTGAGAGGAACCCCTAAAACACAGCTACCCTGATGCCGCCCTGTCTGGATTTCCTGCCTCTAGCTACCAGCATTGTCCTGGCTGTGGGCCTATTTTAGCTCCCCTTGCTAAGTGGGGATGAGGTGTTCTCACGGACCGCAGCCCCCAGGCCCAGGAGAGTAGCCCTGTCTCTTCCTTTCCTGTCCCTTTGTCTGTCTCCTGGGTGCTGCCCCCCGCCCTTTCCCCAGCCCCAGGCTGTCATTTCTCTGGCTTTGGCAGCCTCTCCTCTCTCCTGTGGGTGCGGCACTCATGCTCCTGTGGCTGCTGGTAGAGTAGAGTGGGTCCAGCTCCAAGGCCTGGGGAGCGCGGTGCCATTCCTGCTCCTCCGACTTCTGCCTCAAGGATCAGCATCTGCCCCTGCCCCTCCTCACACACCCCTCACCACCTCTCCACAGGGGACAGACGCAGGGCTCTTAGCCTCTTCCAGCAGAAGGACCTCCGGGATTTTGACATGCTGCTCCTGAGCGATGATGGAAACACTCTCTTTGTGGGAGCTCGGGAAGCCATCCTGGCCCTGAACATCCAAGAGCCAGGGGTCCCAAGGCTACACAACAGGGTGAGGAGGCTGGGGATAAAGGGCGCAGGCTGGGAGGGGGCCAGCACTGCCCTGGGCCTAGGACACTTATGCGTGAGTAACTGCCCAGTTGCTCTCCATATGATGGACAAGAAATATGCCGGGGGGCACTCGTTGGCATTGGGATAAGAGAGTGACTCATACCGGCTGCCAAAATGACTGATATGGAAATCACTGACATAGGAGATAAACACTGACTCAAAATTATATCAATAATCGGATTATTCACCCACCAGTAGAAATCACTGATGCTTCTGTGCCTTAGTCCCTCTCTGAGCCAGTGGGACAGTCCGAGGAGGAGGGAGAAGGTAGGGAGTGCTAGCAGTGCTGGCCATCATCGCTGGGCATTGTGCTTCTTACCTTGCGGCCTGTGGAAAGCAAGAGGAACCAACTCTGCCGCCCACCCCCCTCAGGACTGGTTAAAAATGCAGAGTCTCTGAGATGGGACCCCAACATGATTCAGAGTGACTTCGTCCGCCGGCTGCATGATTGCCACCTGCAGCCCTGTGTGCCCCGCGCTTCATTGAGGCTGAGCGTGCACCTCCCACTTGTGTCCTCCAGCAGGCTGTAAACCTGACTGGAGATCGCTTAGGCCAAGAAGTGGCCGCGGCAGTCTAGATTTGAACTTGGGCCTGTCCGATTCCAGAAGTCATGTTCCGTCTCGGGTCTGTGTTCTCATGAACAGCAGCATCTGGGCCAAGAATGGTGTGATGGCAGATTGCCAACATGTCGCTAACCACCAGGCCTGCTGGTGATCCCACACGACGTGCAGAAGGGGATGGGAAGCTGGAGCCCGAGCTGAAGGTCTCATCTCCTGCATCTCCTCCCCCCACCTCTGTCCTGCAGATACCCTGGCCAGCCAGCGACAGGAAGAAGAATGAATGCGCCTTTAAGAGGAAGAGCAATGAGGTGAGTGGAGATGGAGCTGAGAGAGCTCTGGCTGGGAAGTACGGGCCCAGGGCATCACTGGGATGACCTTAGGCTGCGCAGACAGTGGAAAAGACTTGCTTGCATGATTACCTGCCGAGATTATGTTCTACAAAGATGTACAAAGACTGACCCTGGCAGAGCCCGCCCCTCCCAACTGGAAAATGAGATTGCAGACTCTGGGGGCCCAGGCCTAGTTTAGGGTTAGCAGTAACTGACCCTTTTGCTTCTCCAGACACAGTGTTTCAACTTCATCCGCGTCCTGGTCTCTTTCAATGCCACCCATCTCTATACCTGTGGCACCTTTGCCTTCAGCCCCGTGTGCACCTTCATTGTGAGTTATCTGGCCCCCAGCTGGAAGGCCCCCAAGCCTTCCCTCCCCTCTGCCCATCCTCTGTAGCTCTGGAAAACTCTGGTCATTGGCCAGAAGATCCGAGGGCGCTTCCTGGCTCCAGCCAATGTCCCTTGATGTAACTCCCTTTCCCTGCCCATCCTGCCCGTTTCCCGGACATGAGACCCTGGCGTTCTGGCCCCCCAGCCACTTCCCCCCTCTAGGAACTCAAAGATTCCACCCTGATGCCCATCTTGGAGGCCAATGTGATGGAGGGGAAGGGCCAAAGCCCCTTTAACCCGGTCCACAAGCACACAGCGGTCCTCGTGGGTGAGTATCGGATCCCATATTCCCTCCCGACACCTGCCTTCCTGAGTCTCAAGGCAAAAGGTGGCATCTGGCTGTTTTCTGAAAGGCAGTTGGCAGGAGGAAGGGAAGCCACGAGCCTCAGAGGAGAGGGAGAATCAGGCACCCTCACCGCATGCGAGAACTGCCACGCAAGAGGGAGAGGTGGATGGGGAGAGGGACCCAAGGGCAGGAGAGTCCAGGGATGGTCCCAGGTAGAGAAGACACACATGCACTGTGTGCACACACCCTCTGGTGCACTCGGTATCATGCTAGGATTGGAGGGATTCCCAAGAAAAAATCCTGGCCCCGTGTCCTCCCAGATAGGAACCATGGCAGGCTTCCTGCCCTGGCTTCCTGAAGGAGGTGGCCCTTGGCTTTCCGGGGGGAACTTGAAGGACAGGTAGGCAGTCGGGCAGGAAAGCTGTTGCAGAAAGGGTCGGGTAGGGCCTAAGATGTGGAAGCGGAAAACCCAGCCACCTTTAGGGAACAATAATGTGGTTCTTTTTGGCAAGTGGTTCAGCTGGGTGAGTGAGGCAGTAGCCAGAGAGAGGCTGGAAAACTGTCCCAGCAGAGAAGGTCACACAGGGTGGGCCTGAGAAGAGGACTCAGCAAAACGATCAAAGTATGATGGGCGCCAGAGACTGATGTGGCCGGCCCCCAGTCAGAGGCAGGTCTGCGGCCAGTGGGTGCACCCTCTGCTGATAAGCCTCTTCGTATCCGCGCCCCCCCACCCCCCCAGATGGGATGCTGTATTCTGGCACCATGAACAACTTCTTGGGCAGTGAACCCATCCTAATTCGCACATTGGGCCATCCTGTCCTCAAGACGGACAACTTCCTCAACTGGCTGCAGGGTAAGCACCTGACCCACCACCAGCACAGGGCCAGGTCGACCTGGCATCGGGAACCATTCCTTTATTCCAGTCTTTGTTGAGGCCATCCTTAGCAGCAGGGACACAGCAGGGGAGAAGGCAGCACTTCCGCTGCCCTTCCCCAGACTTGCCGGAAGCTTCCATCTTATCTAAAGAATTTCCAGTCGCCCCACAGCAGCCCACCCTGACCACATGGGAGCCAGACATCCTGTCTCTTGCCCCACAGAGCCAGCCTGAGGGTTTTGCACCCCGGGGGGAACCCCAGTGCTCAGTCTCTAAACCCCTCTGCCCCACTCCCGCAGCTGATGCCTCCTTCGTGGCAGCCATTCCTTCGACCCAGGTCGTCTACTTCTTCTTCGAGGAGACAGCCAACGAGTTTGACTTCTTTGAGAGGCTCCACACGTCTAGGGTGGCCCGAGTCTGCAAGGTCTGCAACCGGGGGCGGGAGGCGGGGCTGTCCGTGGAGGAGCCAATGGGGAGGCGACAGAGGCGGGACTGAGTGCTTAGGGACCAATGGGAGCTGGGAAGGACGACGGGGGCGTGGTGCCCGGAGCGGGGTGGGCGGGGTGAGGACTCGCTGGGCAGCGGGCTCTTCCCTGACTGGGCTGACGCCCCCAGAACGACGTGGGTGGCGAGAAGCTGCTGCAGAAGAAATGGACCACCTTCCTGAAGGCCCAGCTGCTCTGCGCCCAGCCTGGGCAGCTGCCCTTCAACATCATCCGCCACGCAGTCCTGTGGCCTGCGGGTTCCTCCGGGGTTTCCCACGTCTACGCAGTCTTCACTTCCCAGTGGTGAGCAGCGGGCCAGGGTCCTGGGGGCTTGACGAGGGGGTCCGGGGCCACGGAGCTGAGCCCTTTACAAGGGAAGACATTTGATCCAAACCACCTCCAGGGAATTTCACTCCTGCGTCCATGCAGAAGGGAAACAAGACTCTTGCTCATTGAAACCCTGCCCCGTTGGGAAAGGAGCCCCAGCTTACCAAAGGCTTACGTTAGAATAAAATATATAAAGAAAGGGGAATCACGAGAGAATAAGAGAAGCCAGGCGGGTCAGGGTCAGCACATTACAAGAGCTTGTCAAAAGCTACAGCCCCCGGTGTTGGCTGCAAACTTTGCTCCGAGCTTCCCAGTGGCCAAGGCAAAGAGGCAAACACCACTAGCCTCCGTTTGGTAAAAGCAGAAGCCATTGCCTGAGGGCATTAGCTGATGCGCCAAGGACCGCCCCCCCCTCCAACACACACACACCTGGCCTCCGGCCCTCTTGTGTACCTGGGAGGGTATCTCAGTTACAAGAAGTCTAAGTGGGGTCTGAATGCTAAAACCCTGTGTGGGCCCCAGTCAGGGGCAAGAGAGTGAGAGACGGGCCTTGCTCTCTGAGGCCAGTACAGAGCAACCCTGGAACTCAGCAAGGAACACTTTATCTGGACCACCCTCCCCTCCTGCAGTTGGTTACAGCCACCTCCACCCCCACCCCAGCCCTGAGCTCCGCTGAACTCTCTGGGATGATCACACAGTAGATCCTAAACCGAGATCCAGAACAAGGGGACGGGAAAGCAAGCGAGAGGTTGGCTCCATCTACAGTGTTCCTGCCCTCTGTGGTTCCTCACTGAGGGGGCGTGGAGGGCGGGGCTAGGGCTGCAGGGGCAGAAACAGACCGCGCGTCCCTGCCCGTTGTCTCCAGGCAGATGGGTGGGACCCAGAGTTCTGCTGTCTGCGCTTTTTCTCTCACGGACATCGAGCGTGTCTTTGAGGGGAAATTCAAGGAGCTGAACAAGGAGACTTCACACTGGACCACTTACATGGGCTCTGAGACCAGCCCCCGGCCAGGCAGTGTGAGTACGCCCTCCCCTGGGCTAAGCCAAGTCCAGGCTCACATAGACCTGTGTGGGTGGAACAGTAACCTGTCCTGGTGCAGTCAGTGCTCAATAAAAGTTAGTGCACCTTGTCTACCCAGCTGTACACCTGGTCCAGCCAGCGGCCCACATTCCACAGGTGTCCAGCCCCACCCCGCACAGAGAGCAATGCCAGCCTCTGCCGCCCTAGCAGCCTGAGTTACTCAGGTACATCCCTGAGGACACAGAGAGCCAGGTCTTGGCCATCTTTACCTGCGCTTCATGTTTGTTAAGCCAAGTTTTAAGTCTGGACATAAAAGAATCAAGCAGGCATATAGGGCACTAACATAAAACCGCTCCGCACCCTGGCAGTCACTTCCCCTCTCTTTAATTCTGTTGGCTGGTCTTCTTTCTTCTTCTCCGTGTCTAAGTAACGTGCTTCTGTTGCTGCTCCTTGGTGGTTCTGTTTCGGGAAATCTGTGCCCAGTTCCCCTTCTGAAAAGTGATCCTTGACCTAGCTTCCCACCATCACTATGTCCCCCACCCCCCCACCCCAGGATTGTGCAGGGACTGGCTTGCAGCAGCTAGCAACAGCTGACTCTGTGCGTCTCTTTCCAAATTCACCAGTGAGTGGCTTGATAGCTCGCAGCCAGCAAGGTAGGAGTCTTTACACCCTGGAATTCAGCAAACGTCTTTTAAGTTGGGGGTTTCCCCACCCACACCCAGAGGTGTCAACCCACATACCCCTGCACCCACCCTCACCTTTCCCCTATAGTTTTAGAGTACTTCTGGTTAGATAAATATTTACATTGCGACTTCAGTTATTCCCACTCCAGCCTGGTAGTAAATCATGACTGCGTTTCTTTTTTACTACCCGCCCCACAAAAAAAAAAAAACCAACCATTTTTTTTTGCTTTTTTGTTTTTTAAACCAACCATTTTTATTGGGAGCCTAATACATTTATCGCATCAAGCAGTATTGTACAATCGCTACCACAGTCCGTTTCAAAGTGATGTCTTTTTTTTTTTAACCTTCCCTGCCTTGGGGTTAGTAATTGACTTTTTGCTAGGCATTGTCTTCTCAACACTGCTTCTCTTGTTCATCACCCATCCAAGCCCAGCCCACTGCCAGCCAGCTGGTCCGTTCTGACTCTCAGCAAGTCTGTAGAGTGGAATTGCCCACTGGGCTTTCCAAAGTGGTAACTGACACAAGCCGACTGCCACCTCTTTCTCCCGGGAAGTGGCTGGTGGATTAGGGTGTTTTAGCCATTGTGCCAGCTTTCACCCCATGCTCTGTCGGCTATCAGAGTAAGTCCCGAAGTCCACCTCAGCAGGTAGTTAAACCATCTCGCCTTCCGAAAGAGCCTTCGTTTCTGTTCGGATCTAGACTGCAGGCCAGACACCCAGGGCACAGCCGCCAGACTGGCATCTCCCTCCTCCTCCCGGAGATTCCCTTGGCTTCTCTCCTGTGCTACATCTTGCGTTTCGCCCATCCCATTACCTCCTCTTTTGAACGAAATTCATTTTCCAACTGCCTCGTTTTCTTACAGGAGAGGTCAGGATTTCTGAGACCTTGACTCTGAACACGCCTTTCTTCTACGCTCACATGTAACGATGGCTGGGCTCACTCGGCAGCCGTCTTCCAGGCGGGAAAATTTCCCTTCAGCAATGTGAAGGCCTTTCTCTATTGTCTGTTGAGCAGCCGTACCATTTTCTGACCCCTCTCTGGAATCTCGCAGTGCCTGCTCTGTCCCTGGGTTCCAAACACTCATGGCTGTGTGCTCTGATGAGATGTTCTTAGTCACTTCCCCACCCCCCTCCTCCTCCCTCCAAACTCAATGGTCCCTTCAGCCCTAGAAATACAATTCCTTCAGTTCTAAGAAATTTTCCTTGCATTTTTTCCTCCCACTCCCTTGGCACTGTTCTCAGCACTGGAGAGAGCGGGGAACCAAATGGACAAAAGCCCCTCCCCTCCTGGCGCTTTCAGCCACTCCACGGGGGCGTCTACCGTCCGTGGGGTTAGCCTGCCCGGGGTCGCTATGAGTCAGAATTCACTGGGTGACAGTGAGTGAGAACCACCAACTTCCACATCTAACTATTTTGAAACAAATTCTAGATATCATATTTCATGTATTCATCAATACTTTAGTAACTATCTAAAACGTAAGCACAATCATAACAGTTTAAAATTTTAATATGTAGTCAAGGTTGACATTTTCCATCCTTTCATCCGTGTCATGAAGTTTTTGTTTTGTTTTTAAATAGATACGTTGCTTGTGTGAAGCGAAATACGGACAAGGTCCGCAAAGTAGAGCTGGGTCTCCTTCAAGTCTCTTGGAATTCATATATTCCCTTCGATCCTTTGTTGTTGTTGTTGCTCTTGCAATTTGTTTGTCATGTGGAGTTTTGTGTCTATGGATTTTGGTGATTGTGTCTCTGAGGTTAGCTGAAGTATTTCCTGTAAAATTGACCGGCTGTTTCTCGGTGCTATTCTAAGCCCTGGGGAGATGTGATGAGACCAGGTGTGAGTTTGTGGGTTGGGTACTGCCGGCTGCTCTCTCTCTCTTCATGTTTTGTTTGGTTTTTCCGCTCTCTCTGTGAAGTACGGACTACTCTCTTTTGCAGCACTCTGTTCTTGTCTCATGATTATAATCTCTAAACTCTTAGCTCTGAGGGTGAGAACATTAACGTTCTTGGATGTTTTCTTCTCCTCTCGTGTGTGTGTGTGTGTGTGTGTGTGTGTGGGGGTGTTGTTTATGTGTCTTTCATGCTAATGGACTTACATGTCTGATCATCTTGGACCTTCTGCTTATATTTAAAACTCAAACATACGGTGCCGCCAACTCTTTGGACAATTTACCCCATCGTTATGGCTTGGTAACGTGGGTTCTCTTACAGCCATGAAGGATGATCCGGTGATCCGGTTGGGCCGTTTTGTAGGGGATCGGTACTCCGCGTGTCCTCAGGAGCAACTCTGTGATTCTAGAAAATAAGACGGCGTTGCACCAGGGCCCCTTGTCCCAAGACAGTGTGGGACTGAGAGATCTTTCAAAAGGCGTATGCGTCATGCAGGGAAGATGTAGCGTAATCCACGGGTAATTTCGTAAGCGGGTGACATCATGAACAAGAAATGAAGGCCAGTGCCAGGTCCCCTGGAAAGCCCCTGAGTCCTCCCCAGGGGAGCCATCTGGATCGGTATCAGCCAGAGACGTCAGAAGAGGGTTTGCTACATTTTACCTTGGGTTGGGCTATAAAAGCAGATTGCTCTTATCGACAGATAACCTTCAGGCACAGTGAACAGCCAGACGCAGGGATGATTCATCTTTTATGGTAGCCCCTTGATGACAGTTCCTCTGTGGGGGGTTATTGGAGGGACCGCGTTCAGTCATGAGAATGTGTACTAAGATTTATTTATGTCTCATAACCCTGAGGGTCTTCCCCGACTTAGGGACTTTCCAGACCCCTCATTATGAGCATGCAGGGTTTAGCTGCATGACATTCATGCCCAGTCCCTCAGTGGACCACAGGGAACCTCAGTGGCAGTGGCTTTAGGTTTTTTTTCTCTTGGTCTCTGGTCAGATACCCAGGGTCGATTCTCTACTCTGACTTGGGGGGAGATGGTCTGGCTCCCATATGTGAGAGCCCTGGAGAAAGAGGGGAACTGTGAAGGGGGGGTGTCTCAGCATGGAATGTGCCTGCCCGCATTTCACCTTTCCCCTATCTTCAAGATACTGTTCCCCGTCAACACGTGGCTACCCCACACCAGAGACCGTTTCACCTCTCCAGACCAAGCCTCTCCTTAGGGCGGTCACCCACCTGTGTAGCACTGGGAGGAGGCTCTGCCTGCTGCAACAGACTTTCTAAGAATTCTCCTTCTCCAGCCCCTGCTCTAAGCCCCCCTCTGTGGCAGAAAGGCGGGGCTTTCTCCCATACACTGTGACCGTCTCAGAGACCCGCAGGGGCAGTTCCTTCTCCCTTGTCCTGGGAGGGCTACTGTGAGTCAGAGTTGACTCAAGGGCAGTGAGTTTAACCCAACTTCCCAACTAAGGCCACTGCTTCATGAACTTTTAGTTCTGCCTTATGTATCAGGATGGCTTGGGCATCTCCACTGCTCTCTCTCTCTCTCCCTCTTCCTCCCTCTTTTTTCCCTCAGCGAACTCATTTGCCATTTATTCATTTGCTTTCCATTTTCCAAAATGTGCCTGCTTTTGCGTTTTCTCCCCTAGGTGTCAGCCTTTTTAAAAAGCCCCCTGGGGAGAAGCAAGGGTGACTGCATACACTCATTTCTAGATGCAAAATGAGATGTAGATGCCATCGTCTCGTTTCACATGAGGAGGCTGGCACTCTGGGAAGTGAGCTAACTCTTGTGAGGACACAGCTTGAGGTGACAGGCCGGGGCTGGAGCTGACCCGAGGACCTTGCTCCCGGATACGGGGAACAGAGATTCTGCCCAAGAGAGAACACAGTTGTCCCAGGGCGGTTGCGTTCTGGGCTGGGCAGGGCCTTTCAAGAAACCCCAGGCCACCTCTCTCCTTGGACGGGAGAGACAAAGAAGGCCCCTTCTGGGGAAGGGACTTTCCCACGCGGTGCAGCAAGTTCACATGACCCTGATGAGAACTCTTCTCGTTTCCCCTGCCCCTTCTGCGCCAGCCTGCGCCCAGCCATTGACTCAGCACTTATTGACTGAGCTCTTGAATGCCGGGATCCCACCCTAGACACTGGGCCTACAGAGGGGAGCAAAGCTTGGTCCTCAACCTGCTTCCTGCAGGCCCTCCAGGCACCCTGGATGAAGGTGCTGGCGAGGGTGAAGGTCACAACAGCCATCCTGTATTGAGTCCTGACTTCACGCCACGCTCTGTCCTGCTTGCTCTCTCTGTCTTAGTGCTGTACCTCTTCCCAGGAAGCCTGCGAGGTAGGAGTTGGAAAGAGTCCCATCTCCCAAGGGAGGGAAGCCGCCGTGTCCGAAGGCTGTAATCCCAGAGTCTGAGCTTGTAACCATCATCCCCAGATGAGCCCTGCTTGGCAGGAGCCGAGGGGAGGGAGGCAGGAGGGCTAGGGAGGACTCAGGGAAGCGGGGAGCTGTGCTGACCTGCCCGCTTCCCCCTGTAGTGCTCAGTGAGCCCCTCCTCCGATAAAGCCTTGACCTTCATGAAGGACCACTTCCTGATGGACGAGCCGGTGGTCGGGAGGCCCCTGCTGGTGAAGTCTGGCGTGGAGTATACCCAGCTGGCGGTGGAGACAGCACCGGACGTCGAAGGGAACCGCCATGTGATCATGTACCTGGGCACTAGTGAGTACAGGCCTCCAGGACAGCCCCCAGACCAGCCTGAGGTGGGAAGTCTTGGAGCTCATTCATTCATTCATTTACTGAACCAATGTTTTCTGAGCACCTACCTACTAAGTGTCGGACACCCTGCTAGGCACTAACGATGCAACAGGGAGCAAAGGAGCCCCGCGCCTGCTATTTCTGAGCTCCAGTCTGGCGGAGGGCCAGACTTCCAGGCCGTTGGTGGCTTTGGTGAGGTGGAGGGAAGCCATGATAGGGGTGAAGAGTGAGTGGGTGGAGGGGAGCGGGAGCACCTTCAGGAAGCCTCACTGTGAAGAGGAAGAGGAGCAGGACCGGGCAATGATGGGTTCGGGGCAGGGATCTGTTTCTTGAAAGATGGGGGGGGGGGGTAAGGAGTCAGTAGGAGGCGAGCTGGTAGAGAGAAGGGCAAGAGAGGGGCCAACTGGCAGGCAGAGTAGTTGAGGAGGCAGGACCCAAGATCTAGATGGAGGTACGGTTAGTGCCACCGCTCTCCCCACGCCCCCCACCCCCCACCCCAGGATGAGAGTGAAGGGCAGTGAAGCCTGCTGGGTGGGTCACCTCGGGGGGGGGGCCGGAAGCCAAAGGGGCTCCTCTCTGAAGGGTTTGCTGTCTCTGAAGCAGAAGGACACCAGCTTACACGCTGGGAGCGAGCCTGGGGAAGCGGCAGGTGATTGCCGGGAGAAGAGCAGATTCCGAGCGCCCTGTGGAAATGGGGAGAGGGGTGGGTGAGGGCACAGCATCAGGGCATGACCCTGAGCTTCAGACACAGGTCTCTGAGCCTGGCGGGGCAACGGTAACGTGTCAGGCTGCTAACTGCCAGGCCAGCCGCTCCGCTGCGTGGGAGAAAGACTGCTTTCTGCTCTCGTAGAGCCTTGGGACAGTGTTGGGATCCCAGGGCCAGTTCTGTCCTGCCCTGCAGGGTCGCCTAGATGGCGCTGTCCCGGTGACTGAGTGCTCTCCAGGAACACAAGGACTGGTGGTTTGAATCCGTCCAGCGCGCCTTCAAAGACAGGCCAGGGACCTTGAAACCCCAGGGAGCCGTGCTGCGCTGCGCCCACCGGGAGGCCAGGAGTCAGAGACAACTCACCACAGGGGAATTGGTTTTTGTTGTTTGTTTGGCTGGTTTCTTAACCACCCAGTGTTCTGGAAGCAGGATCCACTGTGTTCCTGAGTAGACAGTAGTGATAGAGCCCCAGTCCTTGTGGAGGGGGAGGAGAGAGACAATAAACAGAGTGAGTGAACAAACGCCGTCACATGCTCTCAGGACACCAGAGTAGAGGCAGGGATCGGAGTGCCAGGAAGGGCTGTTGCAGCTTTTGAAAGGATGTTCAGGGGAGACCTCCCTGGGCTGCCTGTGGGTCAGGACTTGATGGAGGTGGGGCCCGGTGCTCAAATGCCCCACACCTGGGAATTGACAGGCTGTCAGGCTGTTGCAAAGGGAAGGCAGAGAGCTTTCAGCCACTTACCCGAGAGACTGCCATCTGCATGGCATGGAAAAGCCGCCCCGGCTGCCCTCAGACTGAAGTGGTCAGTTGGGGAGCTGCTGGAGGTTAAGAGAAGAAAAGGGGGGGCTGTGGAGAGGGCCCAGCTCTGTGTTTCCCCCAGCCACAGGGTTGCTGCACAAGGCAGTGGTGAGCAGTAACGGCAGTGCCTACCTGGTAGAGGAGATTCAGCTATACCCTGCCCCGGAGCCTGTGCGGAACCTGCAGCTGGCTCCCACCCAGGTGAGACAGACAGCCCTCGCCATCAGGTGGTGTGGGAGGGGCCTGGGCTGGGCTGGGGCCCCCTGACTCACTCCGGCTGTGTTGCAGGGTGCGGTGTTCGCAGGCTTCTCGGGCGGCGTCCTGAGGGTGCCCCGAGCCAACTGCAACATCTATGAGACTTGTGTGGACTGTGTCCTCGCCCGGGACCCCCACTGTGCCTGGGATCCCGAGTCCCGAACTTGCAGCCTCCTGCCCACCCCCATCCCGTGAGTGCCAGTCCCGGATGGCAGCCGGAGGGTCTGCCTGGGCCCTCTGACCCGTTCCCCAAACCTTTCTGGGACGGGCTCCCCGAGGGGAGGGCCTTTGCCCCCCAATCCTGCTTTCTCCTCCTCGCCTTCTCTGCCCTTCCCTCTCTGCCCAGCCACCTGCTCTCCTCCGCCCTTCCCTTCCCTGCTTCCCCTCTCCTCTGTCCACTGTCTTCTGATGCAGGCGACTGCTTTTTACTTTCCCAGGAGCACCTGGAAGCAGGACGTAGAACGAGGGAACCCAGGGTGGGCGTGTGCAACTGGGCCTGTGGGCAGGAGTCACCAGCCTCAGAGCCGCCCCCAAATCAGTGAGTAGGGAACCTGCAAAGGGCCCGGGGGAAGGGGGGACTGGAGGCTAGGGCGGGCATTTTTGCTTCCTTCCCCAGAACCTGCCTCACTTGAGACCCAAGCATTGGGAGAGGGAATAGATTTGGGTCCGGGCTGAAGGGAGGGAGGGAGGAGAGACAGGAAGTCTAAGCTGGGCCTCAAGGTCGAGGTCGCTGGTGGTGTCAGAGGTGCCGGACGGACCAGGGAGTCAGAGTTGAAATGGGAGGGAAGAGAGAGATGGCCTGGAGCCTCTTCCTGCCGTCCTCCCCCAACACTTGCCCTTCATCACCGTCTCCTCCTGCAGTTAAAGAAGTGCTGGCGGTCGCCAACTCCATCCTGGAACTCCCCTGTCCCCACCTCTCAGCCCTGGCCTCTTACCACTGGAGCCACAGGGCAGCGGCCATTCCGGAAGCCTCTTCCACCGTCTACAACGGCTCCCTCTTGTTGCTCCTGCGGGAAGGGGCTGGGGGTCTTTACCAGTGCTGGGCCACCGAGCACGGGTTCTCCTACCCCGTGGTCTCCTACTGGGTAGACAGCCAGGAGCAGCCTCTGGCACTGGACCCTGAACTAGCGGGAATTCCCCGGGAGCGCATGGAGGCCCCGCTGACCAGGATGGCGGGCGGGGCCGCCCTGGCCGCCCAGCGCTCCTACTGGCCACATTTCCTCACTGTCACCGTGCTCCTGGCCCTGGTCCTCTCTGGAGCCCTCATCTTCCTCCTCGCCTCCCCGCTGGGGGCGCTCCGAGCCCGGGGAAAGGTCCAGGGCTGTGGGACGCTGCCTCTTCCTCCCGGGGAGAAGGCCCCCCTGAGCAAGGAGCAGCCCCTCAAGCCCCCCAAGGAACACAGGACCTCTGCCAGTGACGTGGACGCTGACAACAACCACCTGGGCACTGAGGTGCCATGAACGCTGTGAGCAGAGGCTGGTGCTGTTGTAGGGCGGGGTGCCTGGCCGTGCTGCTTGGGGACCCCCAGCCATGCAGCAGCCCCGATCAGGGTGGGACCAGCACGAAAGACCACCTCCTCCTTTCTCCCACGAAAGAGGAGGGTCTCCTTCCACTCTGCCTACTGACAGCGCCCAGCGGGGCCTTGAGCAGCGGCCGGACTCTCCCTGGGGACTCCCTTGGACCAAGCACATGGGGCACAAGCTCCCTCAGCGAGCTGCCCCCGACCTGAATCCAGGCTGACCGCAGGCCCTGGAGAGAACGCTCCAGAAATACACTGCTCTGCAGGAGATCCTACAAAACCTGCCTGTTCAGGACCCTCCGGTAATATGCAATGACCTTCTCCCCCACCACAGCGCACCACTCCTGGAGACTCCGCTCCCAGGGCAGCTGCCACTTTGGACACCCACGTGCCCCTCTCTCAGGCATCTCCGGGGTTCTGCAGGGAGCTGCCCCTGGCTGTTCCCATCACCAACCATGCACGACTGGCTCCCAGGAAGTCCTTCCTGGAGTCTGACCACCTTCCTTCCTGCTTTGGGGCAGGTTTTGATCCCTTCTGCCCTGGCTTGAATGGCAGGGGTAATCTGAGCCTTGTTCACTCCCCAACACACACACCCCTTGACCTCTCAACCCTTCCCCTCCCTTCCCCTTTCCTTTGTTCTGGGATTCAGAAAACTGCTTGTCACAGACAGTTTATTTTTTATTAAAAGACAAAGCTTGTGGCTCCGGCTGTTTTGTGGGGGCAGCAGGTGACTTTGGGGATGTTGAGGGGAGCGGGCCCGTGTTTGTGAGCGACTTTTCTCAAGCCCTTCCCCACCTCCTACCCTGCCAGCTCCCCACCCAGAGCCAGCTCCCCAGCCTTCCCTCACTCCAGAATGGCGAGAGAGGGCGTCCCACGGGTCTTTGGGACTGACCACAGGTCTGGGCTTACCAGCCTCACTGGATAGGCCATGCATCTGCCCTGGCTCCCAGGCTGTTTCACGCTTCTCCCCCTGCCGTAGTGGCTTCAATTTTCAGTAGACTCAATTTATAGAAAGACCAGATAGCCGCCCCCACCCGGCCACATCCTTCCCAGTATCTGGCAAACCCTCTGTCCGCGCCCCCACACCGCCTTTCCTATCGCCCTCTTGTCACGAACTAATGCCCCTCTTCCCCACACAGCTACCGAGGGTTGCTTCTCCTCCTCTTCTGGAACCTCTAGATACCAGGTCTTCACCTCCTGAACTGCCCCCTACACACACACACACACACACACACACACACACACACACACACACACACACACACAGTGCCTTTCTCCCGCCCACAGATGTAATCACATGTTTTTTGCATAAAAATCAAATCTAAACAAAAATCCTTCCTGCAGCTCCCCAGAGGGACCATGCTGTCTGCCTCCCCATCATGCCCTCTGGACCGCCCAAGTCCGAGCCCAAGCCCTGGTTAATCCCTTGTAGTCCGCCACCTCATTCCACCTCTCTCCTCCACCTCAAATTACTTCCTCCAGGATTTCTTAACATCCCCTGGCTACCAAACTCGACCTTGACCTCTACTGCCCTCACACCTGGGCCACCCAGTCGCACAAAACCACGTACTGGGGCCGCTTCACTGAGGGAATGAGTCTCGTTGGGGCTCAGATTATTGGTTTGGGGTACTCCAAGGGGTTCCTGGAGTTACTTGGCTTCTCGGGTACTCCTTCCTCTGTATGCTGCATGCTCCCTTGCACCCTCCAAGACAAGCACCCTTGCCAATGCCCTGCCCTGTGGTCCCTCCTCCAAGGAGCTCTAGCCCAAGGGGTCATCGGGCAGCCAGAGGCAGTGGTAAGGACACTGGGCCAGGACTGGGGTCCCCCGGAGGCTTCATCTGCTGCTGACAAGGCAGGCAGCCCTTCTCTGTCGGCACCTCGGTCCCTCCATCTGCTGGATGCAGGGCATGATGGGAAGATCTCCCGTCAAGCTCAGCCCCTCACTGCCACATGCACGCACGCGCTCTCTCCCACTCTGCCCAAGACGCCCACAGATGGAGGGATGCCCTCATCCCGGTGGCCTGGAGGCTCCTCCTCTGCCTCTCCCCCCCATCACACCTGCCTGTACCCTCTCAGGCCCATCTCTGTGTCAGCTTCCCCACCTGCTCCCAGGTGATTGGGTTTGGGGGTATGGGTTGTTCGTCCCTAACATGTTCACAGTGCACACTGTTTCACCCAGGAGTCACTTACGCCCAGAGATCAGAGACGCAGTCCCAGAACTGGAACGGCCCGCCGTATTTCCTCTGCAGGCCCGACCACACCGCAGGGCAGGAAAGGAAGCCCCCGGCTGTGAGGCCAAGGCTTTTGTCATAGACAATAACCCGGTCATGAAAGGGGTGAGGAACTTGAATGGACGTCTCACCGAAGAGGACACCCAAATGGCCCTGGACACAGGAACAGGTGTTTCATATCATTGCCCGGCAGAGAGCTACAAACCACAAGCAAGGTGATACCATCCCAAACCCACTTTCACGCTCACTGCCCTCCAGTCGATGCTGGCTCATGGTGACCCTACAGGACAGGTAGAACTTCCCCTGTCCCTTTCTGAGACTGCATCTCTACGGGCTGGCTCCTACTGAACACAAAATAGAAAATAACAAATGTGGGTAAGGACGTGGGGAAATTGGAACCTTTATTCACCGCGGACGGGAATGCAAAAAAAACGTACAATAGTGGTGGGTGTGGAGAGGAGAGTCCCAAACTTTATTGCTAACTAAGGGTTATATCTCATTAGGGGGACATGATTACAGGTAAGCACACGTCACAGGAAGGGGCAGTGCAATAGACATGCACATTGTAGGAAGGGGACCTATGATAGGCATAAGCGTAACAGGAAGGGGATGAGCTAGGGGTGTGCCCATAGGAATGGGAAGGTCTAGGGGTATACATGTGACAAGATGCACAGACCCTAGATTCATGATGGCAGCCTAACCTTGGTCATCCTTGGGCGGGTGTGACCTCTCTGGGGTCTCCTACAAGGAAACAGACAACTTATCAGAAGGCAGTGGGCCCTACTTGTGGGATAAACAGTGGTGTCTGCTTGGTCTAGATGGCTGATAGCTCTTAGGGAGAATGACCCCTGAGATTCTACTTCTGATGACCTCCAAGTGTATAGTTATTCGCAAGCAGCTAAGTTTGGCATATATTTGGGGGAGACAACTTGGGAGAAATTCTTCTGTTTCCCATAATGGTGACCTCTGAGTAGATGCAGGGACAGGCATGCAGGCTGCATACGTGTGGGAGGGAGAGTGGAGCTGGCTATCCCCATGGATATATTCCTAAGTAGATTGGACAGAGACCGTCTCTGCGTGGAAATGTGCCTTTACTGAAGCTATATCCACGAATGTGGTGGAGCACAAGGGGGGAAACGCTATGAGAACTTTTAGACATAACCAGACACTTGGAAGGAGGGAGTCACATCAGGGCCCTGGTCCATGGACTTGGAGCACACCAAGGTCAATTGGCATAACACAGTCCACAAGGTCAACAACCTCTATCCTAACCTTGGTGAGCAGTGTCTGGGGTCTGAAAAGCTCATGAGCAGTCTTCTACGGTGCGATTTATGGTCTCTCTCTAAAAGAAAAGTGGTGAAAATCAAACATAGAAACAATCCAGCAGATGATCGGCCCATGTCAATATCAGCCTCCCTCACCCTGAGACCAGAGGAACTGGATGGTGCCCGGCTCCCCCTGCTGACTGCTCATGAAGAGATCATATCAGAATGTCTTGGAGAGAATGGGAGAGAAAAATGTGGACCCAAACTCAAAATCATATAGAAGACCAGGCACATCCCGTAACAATTAAATAGAGATAGGTGGAACCTCTGAGACTGTGGCCTTTGGGGAGTCCCCCTCCAGGTCCAGGAATGAACTCGTCCTCATAGCTCCATTTTCAGCAAACAATAGAAACAGGTCTATCAGGGGAACAGCAACACTACAGAGGAATGCAGTCCTTAGACTAATCCACCATTTCAGATCAAAAGGGCAGCACTTACCTAAGGACAAAATTCGCAAGGCCTAGGAAAGGAGGTGGGGAAGCAGGAAGGCCAGGGAGGAAGGTGGGATGATGGTAGGAATCTCGATCAGTGACATGAAACAAAATGTGTACGGATTTTTTGGATGGAAAACTGATAGGCTCTGTACATTCACTTTCATCGAATCCGCTTAAAAATAATAGTAAAAAGGTATATCTGTTGTGAGATAAAGTGTGAAAGCTCTTAAGAAAAACCCCTAAAACCAGATTGATTGTATGAGCTCCCCAGTCCAGTCCTAGGGGCAGACCAGCAACCTTGTAGAGACTCGAAAGGAGACTGGTTCACCCAGGTTCATTCCAGCGCTATTCACAATAGCCCGAAGGAAGCAACCTGAATGCCCGTCACAGACGCAGGGATAAACGAACGTGGTGCGGAACAACCGAAAACCACCCAGCCCGTAGGAGAATGAAGCCTGGGTACATGGTACAGTGGGGTAGAACCCAAAGATATTATGTTGCGCCAAGTAAGGCGATCATCGAAAGACAACTATTGCATTACCTTGCTGAGTTAGTTAATTGTGCCAGCCTGGCCGATAATCACATGTGGGGCTGGTTGAAAGGCGGAGGGATAAATGGGTGGTGAAGCCTCGCCTTTCTAGTTCTCGGGTCTCTTGTTTTGTGATGGTTGCATCGGGTGCAGCTGCCTTAGCAGTTCCCTGCTTCAGCTTGCAAGATTGACTTCCTACAAGACATCCCCAAGGAGAAGCCGCATGGATCTATCCCGATGCAGCCCTGGGTGCTGGAGCAGCCGTTTGGAGACCCCTGCTAGTGCTGAGATGCTTGTTCGTTCACTGACTCAGCTTTCCTCCTGCAGTCGGCATCATTGCCTCTGTTTTGTGAGGTGGAGGACTTTGTGGACTGGTGTTGGGTAAATGGGTTAATGTTGGACTTGTGGGCTTGGGCAGCATTGGGTTGGGATGTTTTCGTGATGCACATTTTCTTTACATAAAACTCTCTTTTATACATGAGTTGCTGTGGATTTGTTTCTCCAAAGTACCTAGACTAATACACTTGCTTATAAAAAGCCAAGAAAAGGCAAATGTAAAGCCAACCTTTATCAGTGGTTATCGGGGTGAGAGGGAGCGGGGAGGGAAGGTTAATGGTGATGGGAAAACCACATTGATTAAGGGTCAGGTTCCACGGATGATGGTTTAATTGCTGTCAATTAGGTGGATGCCCATAAAAAGCTGACCTGGCAAAGCTGTGTGATGTGTGCATTTACAATCACGACCACCAGCAGGAACAGTCCCTGCTGAGACTGCTTACGTGCAGCCAAGGATTTGGTGCCTTGGTTGGGAGGTTTAGGGTCCCGGTCTCATGGGACAGGCCAGTTAACTGGCCTAATCACGTGTTTAGCTTAATGCTTCTGTTCCATCTCCTGGCTGGTTTCACGCTACCCAGAGTCTCGAAAGCTTGCCTGTGGCCAACCAGAGCACAACAACTGGTCTCTCTTTACCTAGAGCATCAGAGGGAGGAGGCGAGTCGGGAATACACTGCCTGTGGAGCCAACACTCTGCATACAACATGCCCCAAATGGAATTCCCCCCCCCCAAACCTGCTCCCCTCCCACGCTGGTGAAGGGTGCTGCAATGCAGAAGCTTGGACTGGGCCTGCACTTCCTCTTCCGCAGCCCTGCACAGTGACTGCGCCTTCGGTCCTTGCCCGGCC